TTAGAATCACAGGCGTGTGCTACCATACCTGGCATCATTTTTTTCTGTTTGTTTGTCTTTTGTTTTGTGGTGCTGGGGATTGAACCCAGGGTCTTGTGCATGGGAGGCAAGCACTCTACCAACTGAGCTATATACCCAGCCCTGAKTCTGGGTYTTTTTCCTTAAAAACTCAGGGTTATTCCAGTGATGGGTGTGCGTGCTGAACACTGAGAGCCTGCAATTATTCTGCACTGACTGGTTTCCATGCATTTGTTTTTCAGTCATGAGAAAACTGATACAAGCATGAAAGTCAGGAAAATAAAAGAAATACTTTGACAAACAATGGCTTGTTTTCCACAAAGTGTGATGGGGCTTAAGGGTTAAATGAAGACATCTCTTAGAGGATTGGTCCTTCAAGCCCCACATCATTGCCCACCTCTCAAAGCCTGCAAGGGTGTGTGAAGCATCACCTGGAATATCAACACCACTGTGCCGACATGGAAAGGACAGGTTTTCACCACGCCGGAGGAAATGGTGGCACTAAGCCATCAGCCACACATGAAACGGAAAGTTCTTGACAATTAAGATCCTRATAACATTCCCTGGCACCCAATCAACACCACTAGTCATTCTTTATCTTATTTCCTTTACTTCTTCCTTTAGGAAAAAGAAAATTAGCTTTAAGGGCACCTTGCATAAACTACATCAGAAATCATTTCTCAATAGAGAAAGGAAAACAAAGTAGATGTAGCTTTTCCCTGTCTAGGACCTTTTATCCTGATGAACTAAAACGTGCAGGAGAGACATATATATATTCTGCTTCAGCATCTTTTTTTTAACTTAAAAATCTTTGTTTTAATCAACTAATAACAACTGTTCATTTTATGGGGCACCATGATGTGCTGTTTTGAGGTATTTGCATCATGGAATGATTGCATCAAGCAAATGAACATACCCCCCCGCAGCTCACATATTTATGTTTTCATAGTAAGAATATTCTTTCAGTCATTTTGAAAACTACAATGCACTCTTAATAAGTGTGGTCTCCTTGCTATGCAATAGGTCTTGAAAATTTATTCCTTCTGTCTGATCAGGACTTTGCACCCTTTGCCTCCATCCACAGTACACTACCAATTCATGGAATTCATACGTAAAACCATGTAGATCGAGTGGTAGAAAAACTGAATATTTGGACGTGTCTGGTTGATTCTTTGTTCCATCTCCTTTGCCTAAAACACAGCAAACACACCACCCTAAACACACTCCACACAGGGCTGAAGGGTAGCACAGTGGGCAGAGTGTTTGCCTAGCATGTGCAAGGCCTTGAGTTCAATCCCCAGCCCGGTTGGCCAGGGGGGTGGGGAATAAAAACCCTACACACAGACAATTCTTTATTCAAAAATGACCTTTTAGAACCTGTCATCCTCTCACTGCCTGGTTTCCAGCTCCAGAAGGAAAAGAAATAAAGACAGAAAACAAAACAAAACAAAAAAACCCTGACAGACAAAACGCAGGACTTGACAGAGGAGACAAGGTTGCRATGTTTGAATTGGATACTTTGTGGTGGACAACAAATGTCCTTAGAGACTAACAATTTGTCTTGAGAAATAGTAGGAAATGAGAGAAATGGGGGAAAAAAAAAAAGAGGCTTTCTCACACATGGAAAGTGAGTTTGAAGAACGATGTCGTATTCACCAATTAGGACCAGAATATAAATTGCCTTTTCTGTAGGCTAGAAAATGAAAATCCCAATTATAGTTATGGTCATTGGTGTGGAAAGTTCACAGGACTTTGTTGAGGGCAGCTAACCCAGGTTATACATGTGGCATTATATGTTTTAAGTCATAAATAAAAGAAGGGGGGGGGGGGCTTGCAAGATTCTAAGTCAATTGAAAAGTTTAGTTCATATAGGTTTGTCTAGCAGTATCCCAAACTGAACTGAAGCCTTCGTCTTCTCACTGGTGGAAGGTGACTCTGGCTTCATCAAGCCCCCTTTGAGTGGCAGTTGGTGCCACTTGAAAGGGGATGATGGCTWCACTGGGGTATAGCTCAGTGGTAGAGCATTTACCTGGCATGCACGAAGCTCTGCCCTCTATCCCCAGCACAGCAAAATAAATAAATTTTAAAACAATGACTGGTAATTAAATAAGTTCAAATAAAGGAGATGGTGGCCAATATGCCCACAGAACCCTGCTTTTATCCATAGCAGCTGTTTTCAGGGAGTTGAGGACTTCTGGGTGCCTGAGAAGCCTGAGATCCTTCTGCRAGATCCACAAAGTCAGAACATTTTTTATGTGAAAACTGACATGTGATTAGTTTTTTTCACTTTGTTGAAATTTTCACTGATGATCTAAGAACAATGAGAAAACGGCTTCTTGTCTTGGTGGTTTCACATATCATTTAAAATAAAACGCCAGCTTCTCTTCAGGTGAAGTTGTAAAAGGATTCATGTTATCAAACCTTGACCTTGAGTACACAACCTTTTCTTTTTAACGTTCTGTCTGATGAGAGGGGGGCTACACGTGAAGCCACTTGTTGCTTTTGGAAGTAGATGGTTGTCTTGAGGAAGAGCTTATGGGTTCCTGAGCTACAAATTCAACTAGCCATTCATTTCTTTMTGGGATGCCATTTCTTATATAAAAGAGTCGATTGGACTTGGCTATTTGGCAGACGTTTTCTCATATAATGAATGAAATTTAAAAAAAAAGAATATTAGAAAGACTCTCAGTCAATTGGAAAGTTCACACAGGTTTGTCTAATAGTACCCCAAACTAAACTGAATGAAATGAGCCTATCAGTTTTATCGATGACAGAAATCTAGCTTCTAGCTTTCAAGGTGAAATCAGAAGTTTGGAAAATGCGTATCTACCACTATGAACTTAGCACCCCCAAATGTAAAACTTCTGATGGCATTGGTGGTGATAACAACAAATGTTAGTTTTCGATATTGTAAAATAAAACGAGTCAACATTTACAATGCCTACATAATTCAGTGCACTGATATTTCCCAAATGACTGCAATGTAAAAAAATCAGACATGAGTTAAAAAATAGATTCATTCCAAGTTTAAGATGACCACTGGGTTTTAAGGGAAAATTATGTAGACTTCATTGATGTGGTTTCAGATTTCTTACTATAACTAACCTTTAAGAAATTACTGCTTGTCAAGGTTTGTTGTAATATCAACAAATACCTACAAGTATCTGAA